TTTTTTTTTTTTTTTTTTTTTTTTTTTTTTTTTTTTTTTTTTTTTTTTTTTTTTTTCATGTAAATTGATGCACAAGTTCCGTTAGAAAAACGTAACTGTATTGGTTGTGTAAAAGTAGCTTATAGGTTGCGACGCGTTTCAATGTGTTTATACAAATGTATAAGTTATATACGTACCCTTAAATCTCAAAACATAGTTTGTACATGATTATTAGACAAAATTTGGTTTTGAAATGAGTATTAGACTGTAGCCCAGCATGTGCGTAATTTTCATCGAATAAAGCCGAGTCGAAAATTATAAATAATGAAACTGGTTCGTTATGATAAATAGGCCTCTTCTTTTGGTTTCTCACAACGCAAACCAATATTAAATACTAAAAAAAAGTAGTTAGCTAATACATTAATAGGTGATTAAATTTTTTTTCAATCGATCAAATCCATCACGGATTATATCGTCTTCTTGTGATAGCAGAGCATGCACATCTGTACGAACTATTTCATCCCACGGAACCCACGTATATAATAAAACTCACACAATCACTGTGTAAGGACCCTCTTTGGCAGTTCCGCATATTTACCAACAAGCCCAGGTATATATGTAACGTCCCACAATGTTTCGGAAGCACCGAGCAACCCTTACCTCGCGATTCTTCTTCCTCGGGTAGCTGCTCAGGCAGCTCCAGTAGAATTAAGTGTCGCAGGTATACACGTGGAGGGGGAGGGAGATAAGAGAGTAAGTGTATATAGGGACCGGTTTCGCGGTACATCACGAAAAACAGGGCCATGTAATACAAATACGCTGCAGCTCGTAAAGGGGGTTTTATCATCGGAGTCGCGGCTAAACGGCTTGTCGGACAAGTGCTTAAGACTATAAATCGACTCGGTTTTTTTTTGTCTCTACTGTGAATGGTTGATATATGCCGATGGATAAGCGGTGCGTTTTATCAATGCGCCAGCCGATTGTGATTGCGTGGATGATTTATCGGTAGTTGCTATGGGATTCTTTGACGTTACATTGAAATCATCTCAAATGTCACTATTTTACATGATATTTTGGTCTTGATCGAGAAATATATCATACCTATTATCTACGAAACTCCTGCCACAAATTCAATTGAATTTACGTTTATCACAACAACGAACTGTGTCGCGATTCACTGTAGCCGAATGGTGAAAAACGTTCGTTCAACTGGACGAATTCAAGGTCACAAAAGTATCTTTATAAAAATGGGTACTTTTTTCTACAGCTAAACCATATTTAAAACTGTTTATATCTAGGATGTAACCTCGTTTCTCCCACAGAATTATCTGTACAATAATATAAATATTTATGTCTATACGATAATATAAATATTACTGATGATGAAAAATATACTTTTAGAAATGACGTTATATTGTATGGACACAAAGTCCGAGCTAACGGTACCCCAAAAATTTGTTTTCTGTTTCCGCTTCCACTATTGATCGTCGGCAGTAATCAAAAGGGCGAAAAAAGCCAAATCGTCCACGACCCGGGCGACTCGAGCTACGAAAGCGGCGACGAGACGAAGCGGCAATCGGTCAGCCAGCAATCCCACCAGTCGACCTCGTGCGCGGTCCAGCAACAACAACAGCCAACGTCGCATCAGCAGCAACAGCTGGTCGACCACCACCAGCAACAGTCGAGCTCCAGTATGTACCAGCTTCCGGCCCAAGTGTCGCCCAGCCCGCACTCGTACCACCAACCCAGCCACGCGAGCTCTGGTCTCGGACACCACATGCAACAGCAGCATCAACAAACCCAGCCAACGCAACAGCAGCAGCAGCAGCACCACGAGACGAGCGCGGAGGGAAGCGGCATCGACGACAAGAGGAACCTTCACCACCAGCTCCAGCACCACTTGGCGGCCGCAGCGCACGGGCTCGTCCATCCCACCGCCACGCTACCGTCCCAGTCGAGCTGCGCCCAGCAAAAGAGCCAACTCGACTACATGCAGTACTACAGCTCTCAGGTAGGTTGTTTTTTTTTTTTTTTTTTTTTTTTTTTTTTTTTTTTTTTTTCTTGTCAAGAAGGAAGAAAAAAAAGGTGGCTATCTTAACCGTGGACTTGGATCCTGGTGTGTACCAACAGGAGTACCTGATAGGCACACCGAGCTCGGCCGNCAGAGAACTATTGTCGACTGGGCGCGTTCCAAAGTCGCAGAATTGCTGATGCCGATTCTTCGTTCCGTCCCTACTTATCCAGTGCTCCCTCCTTATCGCTCGTCACTTGGCTGTTTACAAAACAATTTCACGATGGCATAACGAGATGATATTTTATACATTGTTATACCATTATATGGTATTATTTAACTCCGTAGACTTACATTTTTGTTATTAACACAGAAAAATCCCCGCGAGTTGCCGACTCGTCGTCTTTCCTCGACACTCGCGTGTTTACCTTTTGCACAAAGGAATACTTTTATACATCACAATATGGGATAAAAATGCGAAAGGTGCGGGGATAAAAAGAAATAAATAAAAGTAAATACATCATTGTTGTGCATCATCATTATTATCGCATGTCCAATAATAATATAAAACTGTACGTATACAAACAACATAATATACATTATGTAGGTATACCTAAGGTATCCTTATCATACGTGCTTACGCAGAATCGGACGCACATAATACATACGTATATGGGTGATAAGATGAGATTTTTCTCTATCGTTATACCAAGTATTGGTACGCATATCATTTTCTTTTATATAATATGCATGTATGAATTGTGGCATGTACATTCTCATGAAAGTTGTTAATTTCTGTACATCGGCTAGCTCCCTGAGTGTCAAGTTGGTAGAAAGAGGGCAAAAAAGAGAGATGGTTGTAAAAAAGGCATCTTTATTTCTTCCCTGCGGTGTAGAAGCTTCCATCTATATGTAGGTATAATGTGTGGGTCCGATGCTGTCCATTACGCTAAATAGTGGATGTACTTATAGCTCCCTCTTTCCGTGTATCGAGATGAAGACAGAGCAATGCCGAGAGGGTTTTAGCTATATATACACACACGGGGTGCACTTACCTATATGTACCACCTACGCACACGCGGACCGTAATGGCTTGGTTTTTCTTTGTTCTTCTTTCGCATCTCTCTCGCTCTTTGTGCAAACAAAACATCGCTAATGTGCCCACGCAGCCATAACCCGCGGGCACTACGTGTATACAGGGGTGGGGGAGGAGGGTGAATCGTGCGTTTGCCACTGGTTAGGTACACCGTACTTTTGTACTCTTCTCGTGGTCATGCGTATATCTTTCGTATGGACACGCATATATAGGTACATGTACCTATAAGTTTGACGACAAACGTATACTATTAATCACGTCGGCATTAATTTTATCTCTGACGCGTTGGAGGGTACCCATATACGAGCGCGAGAGGTCTTACCAACATATTTTTTTCAACGGTGCGGGCCCGATGTGTATAGTTCATCTGTTCTCGAGTGAAAGGCAATACCATATACTGTGGTTTTTTCATCTAAAGACGATGGCGACGATGGCGACGTACAATATAGAGCGACAAAATGACGAAACAAAAAAAAAATAAAATTAATCGACAACGATAGGGACGGTACGAGGCTTCTAATTTCGCGATTGCAGTCGCACGTGTCGATTGGGGCCGGAAAGTGGGGCAGCAGTGGCTCTTTGGAGTTCCAATATTGACTCGCTTCAGCCCGAGTGCGCTCATTTTCGAAATTTTTCGGGGTCCGAGGGAAGGGGAAAAAAAAGAAAAAAAAAAAAAAAAGAAAAAAGGGCCGACGAGTGATAAACAACGGAAGAGGGTAAAAGCAGTGGCGTCGCCTATATGGGGGAGACACGTCCTTTGCTCTTAGAGTACATATATACATATGGGGCGTAAACGCGCTCGCAGCTTCCGGAAACGATGGGGGATATGGTGGGGCGTCATACACGTAATGTTTGGGGAGGGAACGGCAGCAGCGAGGGATTGACAACATCGGGAGCGAAAGGGAAGAGAGAAATGACTACGCCAATATTGACTCAATGGGATGGCCCTAGGAGACCCTCGAGAAAAGCCAAGGGTGGTGCTTTTCCCCCTCCACGCACTCCGCGTCTGCGTCCTCTGCTCTTTTGGCTCCAACTACTACATATATTATATACTGTTGAGCTCACGCAATATATGTATACCTATATACGTATGACATGTATATAGGTGCCTGCCGTACAATGTGGGGCTGTTACTTCCAGCTGCTATTCCATGTGTATGGAGGAGGAAACCAAGAAATGGCTGCGCGCATTTGGATTTTTGGGGCTTGATGATGATGGAGGTGCCTACCTATGGCACATGTACATTGTACTTAACGTGTTTACCGATCTCGAGCTATGGTTTCGTTTGTCAAGCTGCTCATACATGTTATATATTATGCTCGTTTTGCACTGCGCTGGATAGGTATGTCCAACTCGTGCGTTTTTTCTCTCCGACTGCAGATGATACTAGACCAATATATATATTGGACAAAAATAAACTCGTCTTACCATTCGATCTTTGAAGCATCATCCGATCGCGACTTTTCTTCATTGGTTGAAAAAAAAAAAAAAAAAAATCAACGATTTCGCGTATTGTACCAGACTTGTGGAGCCACAGCGACATCGATTTTTAAACGCGAACAGATTGTTCCGGGCACATCGATCTATATATGATAGCGTTAAATAAAGTCCAACAACGGAAGAATCATACATACATTTAAAGTTCTACCTGATATCTTTTTCTCTCTCTTATATGCTCGTTTGTCGACGCTACGTGCAAAATGACCAATAATAACCAATAACCCGACTCGAGTATAGCTGCTCAGACTGGGAGTTGTAGGTATACGAATGTACAAAAGGAGCTCGCGCGTGCAGCCATTTTCTGTAAGGTACTATACTCTTACACATGGGAAACGAGAAAACGACAACAGCGAGAGTGGAAATAAAATGAGAGTACCTAAATATAACGGAGGAAAAAATAAGGGAGGTAAACGAGAGGACGGAAACGATGCACGTACATCTGTGTATATATGTATAGATACTGATCGGGGACAATGCTCTCGCTCCGTATAACATAACGTTCTCGTTGTTGGTTGATGTGTAAAAACACACACACACACACACACACACACGTGTATGACTATATTTTTATTCACCAGAGACAGGAGGGCATCGTCATGAATTGCTCGTTCCTCCATTCGCTCCGATGGAAATCGATTGCGATCGACACCTATGGGCTACGGTATATTTATGGAACGTATCGACATGTTATGCATACATAGAAGCTATTATATAATATGTAATGCACGTTATGTCAAGTACAAGTAACAGTTTGGCGTCTCTCGTTGGCAGCTATACAAGTTCGTTCCCCGCGTGTCGGGAGGATCTTGGGAGGAGAGTATATTTATGTTTTTGAGCTTAAAACGGCATGTAGGATGCCGTGTACCAAAAATATATCGAATATGGTGCCGCGCCCACATTCGCGAATTCACGTAATACATTGCGAGGTGTATAGTTTATGGCGTCGGGCTCCTTTGCACCCATACGGAAATGACTTGTAAAGGAAAAATGTACAAGCCACGGTATTGTTTCTCCGCGGGATTCTGGTTACTTGTGCATTCATGCGTATGTATGTATGTAGAGATACGCCTGCACACTTTGGTATACCTTAAGCGACAACTATTTTCAGAAAGAGAGAGATTTCCATTGTGTTTCCGAGACTCGAGCCAAAGGGGTGGGTGTATCTACGACATCCACAAAAGTTTATACATTTCATTCAATTTTTGTGCAAGTACATCGCACCAACATATAAATTTACGCCTCGAGATCAGTTTTTATATAAAGTTTTGCCTTGAAAAAACATGAAACCCAAAAAATTGCGAGAAATTCGAAATATCGCACGGAGCAGCCGTGTATTTCATATACTAGTAGAAGAGGAGCAGTAGCGGCACGAAAGCTTCTCGGCCATTTTCAATGGCGTAAAAACACACGTCCTTACCGGTCTCGGAAGCCTCGGAGCGCAAACCCACAGCAAAGGGGAGACAGAAAACAGTAAAAACAAGACGAAGGAAAAAAAAAAAAAAAGAAGAAGCAGAGAAGGAGGAGGAGGCTCCCTTTTCGAGGAGCTCCTCCGTATACAGGACGTATACAGGCCGCACGGAGGGAGAGATCCTGTCAAAGCTTGACAGGTCGTCGGGGAGCCCCCCTTGCGCCTATATACATGTATGGGCCGCACATACGCAAAACAGTGCCGCGTACGCGTGCGCTCGTACACACATATTTATTATAACATATTGTCTTTCTCAGCCCATACGTATATGTACCTATGGCCTTTTCGTAACATAGCTGTGCGAACCCTCTCTTTCCCTCCATCCCTTTCTCCTCGCCGCAATCACAGCAGAGCAGCGTTTCTCCTCCCCCCTCTCTTGTTATTGTTATTATTTTTTTTTTCTTCCACACACACACACACACACATGGGAGATTTCAGGCAGCTCCGGAGCGAGAGTATACGAGGGTAAAAAAGACCGAAACGAGGGAGGGGGGAGAAAAAAAAGGAAGGAACAATCCTCTCCTCACATCGCGAGGAGGACGCTGCCGGGGGAAGGGACACAGAGGGGCCCTTTCATTCATGCGCCCGTTCTCAGAACGCCGCGCTTCACGCGCACACGTGTGTGTGTGTGTGCACATATATAATATTATCATTATTGTTATTATTATATTATGCTCCCGCCTTCTCTTCTCTCTCTCTCTCTCTCTGCCCGGTACATTTATGTACGTTGTACGTACCGCGGTATATACACTTTTGCACTCTCGCTGCGCTCGCGCTTTTAATATGTCCGCTTTCTCCGAGGTTTTTCGGGTGTACGGTATATGCTGCCGCGGAGATTCCTCGGCTATGTATGGGCCTTATGTCTATGGTATATAGTACGTATACTGTGCGTATACTAAAAAGTGCACTGCCGATGCACGAACTCTGGGGGTATTTGTTTCCCGATTTCGTGGGGTTTATTCCAGCTGAGCACGCAAACGTTGTGTGTTACTTTTTTCCTGATGATGATAATTGCTATCTCATGTGATTTTACGTTTATTGCATTTCCTTTTTTTCTTTTTTTTTTTTTCAAATGAAAATCAGTTGAATCGCGATCTATCTTATTATAATTATATACCTGATGTGTACACAATGATATTAATTATGATGGTTAATATAGTTACTTATTATTCATTCAAGGGAAGTTTTTTTTGTTCTTATACTGTAATTACCAGTATTTACAAAATGTGGTCAGAAGCATAAGATAATTTACGAATAATAGTATAGTTTTGCGTGCAGTGAACAAATAGCCATATATATTGCCATGGTAGTGACGATCTTTGAACTTAAATATCATTATTTTCCCGATGGTCCATCATTATGACAATTGCTCCATACCACTCTACAAAGTTCTACCATACAAGAGGTCCATATTTTCCTAAAAAGTGAAACATGGGCGAGTCGAATCGGCTCCCTTTTCACATCGCAACAGCCACGCAAATTTGTCTTTCCCGCAAACGTTTCACCCGCTTTTTTGAAATTCCTAACGTAGACCATATAGTTTTATATATATATAGACACAGAGAGCTCGCGGGATATGGCGACTGCATGCATGTACTTACTAATGGAAAGTGAGCCAGAGAGACCAGACATCAGCGCTGGTGCAATGATACACGTCGTTTGAGAAAGAAAGAGAGCGCGGATGCGTGGTGTATTTTCACCCCGGTTTTCCTCTTACGCCGTCGCATCGTCGAGAGAGAGAGAGAGAGAGAGAGACCCTTGTATACATATATACATATATACATGCAGCAGTTCGGCTTACACGTAATAATAGAGTCATTAGTATCAACGGCAATTAGGCCCACTTCTCTCTATCTCTATATTATAACATATGAGCAACGTATATTACATGTATATATATGTACGTACAACTACGTCTGGCACGCCAATTCCGCGATGTCTGATACCAGGCTTACTTATATATACGTGTATACATATGTATATACACCGTTGCACGGCCTGTATAAGTACATGCACCAGCGGTTCGCCCTCGTTTTAGGAGCCTCCTCCTTCTTCATGGGCAAAACCAAAAAGATGGAGAGGAAGAAGAAGAAGAAAAAGTGCGCACGGAGAGAGGGAAGTGGTCTTTCTCTTATTTTTCCTACTCTATGCAGCCGTAACGTCTGCCACTCGTCTCGGCGGCTAGTTGCGCAAATTTACGCGCGTCTGGCGCTACAATGCTGCGCAATTGCGTCTTATGATGCCTTGCATCTAACATTACATATATAATATACACACACACACACACACACACATATATATATATATATATTTATGTATATGTGTGTGTGCAATTCCACGCATACGCGTACAAGACCACAAACTCGACCTAACAATGAGTAAGACGTGCATGCGCATGACTCGTGCGATGTGCAGCTATATTACGCAATAGGTAGGTACGACGGGGTAAATATTTTTTAAAAAATAGAATAATATAACGATCGATAGCTTGTTGAAATCATTTGCAAGTGCGCTAATCCCTAGTCCTGTGAGGCATAATAATTATTATTTTTTTATTTAATTTTTTTTTTACAAAAGTGCATAGGGGTGGATTCGTCGAGCGGGAGATTTCATCCAAATATTTTTAAATACAGTACATTTTCTTATTACAAATGTCCACGGGGTATACAAATGGTAATTTTATTTTGGCAAACCGATGCTCATATCCGTATCACGTATAGCAATGAGAAACGCGTGGGCCATTAAAATTTGCGCAAGGAACATTCAGCGTTTTATGTCTACACGTATGCTCATTACACACAAGTGCGTCGTTACAATATCTATAACGCGGTAGGTGGTGTCGAGTTTACGTGTGTTTGCGGTGGCAAGTATATAACGTCTTGCTTCGCTTACTTCGGACTTCTCTCTTGGAAACACGGGAGACTTACGTAAGTAAGTAGTATATAACAAGACTACTGCGATGCGCCAGAGTGCGATTTCCTATATACCTATACGTTCTTGCCCGTGCTAGACTTGAAATCCCTTCTTTTTTTTTCTGCAGGCCACGATTGCCTTGGGAAAAGTACTTAGTTACACCTATACCCTAGCCTATACCTAATTACCTACCAAATGTATGGGATGAAAATGTGATTCGCACCCGATAATTTGCCAAATTTCTGTAGTTACTCTCACACATCGAAGACAATTATGTAAATAGTACCTATGTTGTACGCACAGAAATGAAAAAGTGCAATAGTTGAAAAAATTGTAAAAAGAAATTCCGTACAATGAACCGATTAAATATCATGACTTTGACATAAAAAAATCTTGCCAACAATTGTACAGCTAACGAGTCCACGCTTCAAGTTATTTTTTAAATTTAAACCATTTTTAAACCCCATCGACTCCTTCCAAATTTCGTTGTTTCGTCAAATCCTCGTTAAATCTAGATACGAAAGAAATAAAAAAAAAAAAAAAAAAAAAAAAANGCCGATAACGCGTATATTCGATCGTTATGTGCGAGCGAGAATTACTGTACTCGTTTCCTCTGCTCCCTTTCCTTCGATGCACGGACATGCTTCGATCGAAGACGCTTCCGAGCCGGCGGCCCTTTCAATTAAACGCAACTCGCGTGTCTCTGATGGAACACGATTGAAAGTGCGTCGACGGGATTCTGAAAAACGACGCCATGGTAAGCAGCTTGGTATGATTACACGCGCGCAGGTAGGTATATATATTTCATGCAAGTCCCGCGGATGGCATTCTATGATCAGCAAACACGCTGGATTTCCACTGATGCCAACAAACATTTAAATTGCCGCTCTTTTTCTCTCTCTGCTATGAATATAGATACACCCGTAGGTATTGAGGTGCGAAAAGTAATCTATTTCTTCGGCTCCGAGTTCCACTCGAAATCAACGCTGTTGGCCACCGCAACCCTGTCCCACCACATGCACTCTCGGTATTAGGGGCCAATGTAGCTACTTAGGTGGCCTTATCTCACCCCTCCCATTTTTTTTTTTTTTTTTTTTTCTTGTCAAGAAGGAAGAAAAAAAAGGTGGCTATCTTAACCGTGGACTTGGATCCTGGTGTGTACCAACAGGAGTACCTGATAGGCACACCGAGCTCGGCCGAGTTGCAAAAGTCCCTGCCACATACGGCCACGTCGATGCAGATGGGGGCGATAGCACCTACGATGGGCGGCCTGAGCCCGATGGGCCCGTCCTCGATGATGCCCGCGACGGTGCAGGCCGTCAACCACACGATGAACGGCATGTCGATGAACGGCATGGGCATGGGCGCTTACCAAGGCATGGGCACGATGGCCATGTCCAGCGGCCACCACCACCACCACCACCACCACCACCCGAGCTACCACGGAGCCAGTCTCGTGCTCGGTGATTACCATTCCTTGTGACCTTGGGCGGCTCGCCCGAGACGTAAACACAATCAGCATCAGCAGCATCCTCACCCCTACCATCATCATCACCCCCATGCCTATTTCAACGAGTTTCATCAGCAGCGCCATCATCATCATCATCATCAGGATAAGGGATGGGAGTCCCCACAGCAGATGCAGCCCCAACAGCTGCACACCCAACCCCTGCAGCAGCAACAGCACAGCCCAAGCAGCAAGCCGGTGACTATTGTTCAAGCACGAATTTACTGTCTCGCGGAGTAGACCGGACATTTTTCCGTACACACAATGTCATTTACATAAAATACATCATCGTTACATATATGTATATTATATACGTATGTAAGCCGTAGCACAAGATGATGACCAGTTTTCTTTTTTTTTCCCCCCTTGTTTCATCACCCCTAAGATACATACCTACGTACATTGTGTATGGGTTTACTGTAGTGTACAAACGGGTTAACGGATCAATGGTTAATTTTCAAAGATTTTTTTCCTCTCGATTCGGTTTTCCTTGTTTATCCGTTTTTTTTTTTTTTCGCAATAGTATAACAACTGCAGAGACTCAACGGTTGAAACGCATGAGGGTACGGATAAACTTTGTTGGTTTGAAAAATTCAGTGTAGCACAAAATGTATAACGATTACGTAACATATACATACATATATACATATTACTTGCGTTATTTTTCTATGATATTTTAAGCGCCGCATGCACACATCTTTCAGATTACAAGAACCTGAAATTGCAATATTACAAGGTATAGGGTTACATATAACCGGATGGAAAAAAAAAGTGTGAGGGGGAGGGCAACGTTTTGGCATTTTTCGCGGATAAAAAGTGTTGTATCCGTGGTTTTGTAAATATAGGGTAGGCTTCGATGTAGAAATTTACTCGCGTACAAAGTCTCGTTACGATAGATTTTAAAACAAAAACGAACTGAAACCATTCGCCACAATGATAGTTACCTCTAATTTTTTTTTTTTTTTTTTCTATACAAAACAAAAAAAGTTGTGTCAAAAATAAAAATATACTTACGATACTAGTAACGATACGGACAGAGGATCGATTGTAAGCGTATATAGGTATACGATACATCGTTTGGATTATAAACGATAATAAAGAAGAATTTAAAAAGTAAGCGTTTCGTGTTACTCGTCCTTCTTGTACATGTATGTAGATAGAAAACAAAAAAGGTGTAAACGGCTCGAGGCTTCAACGTTGACTATATGCGTGCACTCTCTTTGGATGATATTTCGAAAAAATCTCGAGAGCTAGTAAAATTTTTTCGATGACAAAAAAGAAAAAGCGCTGCCGGAGAGACCATCAGCGGATTTTATTTTGAAATTTGAAAAAACCGAACGCCCGTATTTTTAGATTTCTATTCGGTTGGATATGAAAACGTATTTGAATAAAAGTAAAAGATCAAAAAAAATTCAAGTGCGTTTGGAAGAATTTTTTATATTTTCGGCACCAGAATAAAAATACGTTATCTTTGTAGTAACTTGTAATAAAACGAGATTGTCTGAGAATGGCAAAGTTATCCAAGAAAAAGAAAGAATCAAATTTTAAAATAAATCCCCAAGCTGCTTGTCTGTCGAATTTTTTTCAGCTCGATTTTAAAAATCTACGAGTGTCAGGATAGTTAAGTACACGAGTTGCAATGCTGTACACCATCTGCACTTGTCAACTGTACATATAAATATCTACGAGACAAGTGCTGTAGTGGCAAATCAAGCGTATATATATACATACAATATCGATAATGAAAAATCGCGTGATCTTATCTATTAGTATGCGAAGCATTAAAATAATAATAAAAACACTACGATTAACAATAAAATTAATAATAATGAAAAAGTAATAATTAGCTGATAGTTGCTCCAAACTTTTGTTCCGAGAGAAAAAAAAAAAAAAAAAAAAAAATTGAACGAAGACGAGGAAATGGCGCGTGCACAGCGAAGCGACCAGGCGCGTACAAGGCGAGACGGAGCGCGAAACTTCCATTGCCTACTGGGTTATACACGCGCCTTTTCTCTTTGTCGTCCGCATCGTGTTTTTCCTTCTTATATCTGTAGAGATACACACACACACACACATACGTACATTTACACACATGGTTGCATTGTTGCAAACTGTGACCGCGGGACGATACAGGGTAGCAGTAGTGTGGCCTCTCGACTATACCCTCGAGTGTAGATTTTTTTCACTTTGACAAATTCCAGTTTCAACCATACACTTGTTGTTAAACTCTGTGATTTTGGGAAAAAATTTATCAAAAATTTTTTTTATAACAGTATAACGCGTATTGCGTGAAATAGCGTTTGTTTCGTAGAGTGAAAATTGTGCGGACGCAGATATGGAATATTTTTTACCTTTCAGAAAGTAGGGCTGGTTTTAAATTTAGATGGAACAAAAAATAAAAATGGAAGAAGAAAAAAAAAATTTGTCTCGAATACTATTGTACAGCAGTGTTACGGTGGAAAAGAGCAAAAGAGGGAGCGAGAGAGCGAGGAAAACTAAATTTAGCATAGCATAGCGGGTAAGGCGACTACTTCTTCCCGAGACGTTTAAGTGACGGTAGTTGCGTGATTATAGATCGACCGAACGATTTTTTTTTTTTTTTTTTTTTTTAAATGTCAAAAAGGGGTTTTTTTTTTAAAAAATAAAAAAAAAAAAAAAAAAAAAAAAAAAAAAAAAATGCTCGAGAAAAAAAAAGGCACAGTAGAAAAAATATAGCCAATACATCCACAAGGTGCACGAAACGTTAGCTACCGTTCTTTTCTGCCCAAATAACTTTATGATGGATTTCCGAAGTAGTTTCCAATACCCGCTCGTCGATACATATAGACGAACGAGCAGGCGATGACGAGGACGAGAGCAAAAGATAAAGAGAGAGGGAGGATTCCGTCGAGCGCATAGAGAGTGGAAAAAGAGCCTCATCGTCTCTCCGTGGGTGGCACGCACAGCGCCCCGCTTTTTATCCATCCGCTCGCCTTTTCTTTTTCTCCCTTTTCCTCTTCTTCCATCGCATTACGCACACTCTGTCTGGCATCGGCCGCGTATATATACACACATAGGCGCACATTCGCGTTCGAGCGAGCGAAAATCCCTTAACCGGCAACAAATTCGATAACCGGCCGTCTCGGGAACACCCCCCCGCTCGCGCGGCTTGTCCATCTAAATCGTGTATGGAGCAAGTGATGTGTTATACATATAGCTTTTTTTTTTTTTTTTTTTTTTTTTCAACGATGACAAACAGACAAAGCTATTGCACTTATATTTCCTGTTTTATGCCACCCGTGGACGCCTACGTTGATACATTAATCAAAAAATGTACCTTATCGCGCTCGAGATCGGTACTTACAACGACTCAATCAACAACCAACTGTATAAACTAGAAAAAAAAAAAAAAAAAAAAAAAAAATAAGAAAGTGTACATCAAAAACAAATCGATGCATGAATCCCAGACTCGTGATAATCCCAAAGCAGACTCTCTTCGCAATGGGCATATAGATATTTCCCAAAGCGACGCCTCTCGTGGTTGCGTTGCACGTCCGTGTCCTATCTTTTTTGGGGAGCTTTGGGGGGGGGGGGGAAGGAAAAAAAATGTACCACGTATTAGTACAACTACAACTATACTATGCCACTAGCGGCTTCCCTCTCCGGGTAATCCGGATCAGTCGGGCTCCGGAACACCGAAAGCGTTTTAAGGCGCGATACGTCCCGCTGCAAGCTCTCGCGCAGCTTCTACCACGTATACATATATACCTTCTCCCCGAGTCTCGATGCTCCTTTTTTTTCTCTTCTTCCTTGTTCGGCTGAACGAAACAGCTCGTCAAGGCGTTTTGTTAAAACGCTAATATGAGGCGTCTCGCGTCCTTTCGGATCGCGGGCTGTATACTATTTCCTTTTTTTTTTTTTTTTTGTTTTTTTTGTTTTTACTTCCTCATTTTACTTCTTTTTTATTTGGCGACAGGCGTATACGCGCTTGTCACACGTACGCCCCGTGTTCTTGCCCTTTTCGTGTTTAGTTGCGCGCGTTGGACAGCTGTTGTGTGGCCCCTGGTATACATACACACCTACATGTGGGTACCACACTACAGGCAATCCTTTTCGCCGACTTGTCAAATTTGCTCATTCTCCCCCCCCCCACTTCTCTCGCTAATCCGTTGTTAAAATGTCCTCCGTTGGCTCTCCCCTTATTGTGATAATGGGTATACAGTAGTGTATATGAGTGTACGAGGTGGCGCCTGAGTTTAGAGGAGCAGACGGCGATGATGATTTATCGAAAATCCATAAGCTGTCACCTTTGGTTTTGTGTTTTTCTCTTCGCTCTGGTGCCTGGAATGCGGACCGCGTGAAATGTCCGAGAGATTGATGGGTTACCGTATACAGGAAACGGTATTTTCTTTGCTCGCCCCGACCTTTTTGTCACCGACGTGTATTTCTGCTTAACAGGGAAATGATTTATTTACGTGTATATTTAATTGTTAATCGATTGTTAAAAAATGTTTTTTCATGCTTATTGGTCTCATATTAATACACACATTTGTCGGTAAGTTATGGATTTGAATAAATATTAGTACCTAATATGGGCAAACATAATTTAAATGGTTAAAAATAATATTTTTGTTGTATCGGATACATTTCCATGAAATTGCGCGATATTCGAGTGATATCACAAAAATTCGCATGAAAGAAACTTTTTATTTCAATAACATTATTAAACAAATAATTGATTAAGCATTGATGATGCAAATAGTTATTTTAACAACATTCAAAACTTTTTCTTTTTCTCAATGGATTACTTATGAATTAATTTTAAATCTTTGAGCATATGCAATAATTCATCATGAATGCCTCACTAGTAAACAAAATTTTCACAGTACAATTTATGATATTCGTAAACATAAAAACCACCATTTCATTTGCAAATTGATAAAGGGTGAAACTAATAATTAATTTTTTCCATTAAAAAAAGTTTTTTTTTTTTTTACAAATTTAATTGACTGATCCAGTAAACTGGATTTTGGTGGACTCGCCACATCCACTCTAGTTTTGATTGAATCAATAAATCATTCTTACAATTAAGTATTTTATAAAATATTCGTTGTATTGAATCAACAAGCAAATATAATAAACGCGTTCGTAGCGTTAGATTATTCGTCCACTGCAAAAGTTCCCCGGTAAACTGGCCAAACGCAGCCGAGACCGACATTTGTCTGCTGTTGGCACTTTGTCACCGTCGCGGAAACCGAATCGAAAAGTCCTGATATCGGTTACGTTGTAAACAAATGAACGGACAGACGCGAGAGAAGAGCTTGAAATACACGCCCCTCTTCTAATCGTCCGAACAGGCCTCCGTGCACGCGTGTAATAAAACGCGCAATTGGCAATCGTTTTCGGGATTCTCGCCTAACGAGTATAAGAGACTATTTATATTTAATCTTATATCTCCCCCTCGGGTGATCAGTATTAAAAATTTTTATTCCAAAGCTGCGTAAATAGATGATTACGTCAGAAAAGAGCAGAAAAGGAAATTCAAGAAAAGGTGTAAGCACAAGCCAAGATGTACTTACCCGACTCTTTTTCGATTTCCCCCGAAAAACCAGCCCCGTCATCGCTCCACGGGATACGCGATCTCCCGCCGCTTTACACCTATATAAATATACCCAAGCAAAACGCGCGTGCATCGTAAAACTGCACGTAGTCATCGAAAATCCAGCGGCAGCGAAACTCGCTCGTTAGCTAAGTATATTTATACGAATCGTGAGCGTGTGTGCGCGTGTGTTTGTTTAGCGTTGCCGCATATATGGGTATGTGGTACATACACGGAGATGAGACGAGATGGACCGCGACGTGTGTGCATATATAGACACGAAAGGCCGGCTTTTCCATTATTTTAAGCCCTCCCGTCTGTGTAAGTATCTTATTATGGAATCAGCTGCTCCGTGTGTATAATGTGCTCTCGATCCTTTTTTTCCCCCCTTGGCGCGCTTCTCTCGGCAATGTATTATATCACCTGCGGGGAAAGGCAATAAAACAAAAAAGAAAACAAAAAATATATATATATGGAAGGAAAAATCTGAAAGATACTGATGTGTGTGCCTTGCTGAATTG